AACAACGCCACGGACAAAAGGGTTCCGGGAACCATATTTTCACAAGTTCGCATAGTTGGACGATAGAAGAGCCAGAAATTGCCAGATTATTTACAATACTGTTGTCAATGGCGAGTAAGGTGCCAATGCAGCTCCAATCGTGTCGGAAAACAACAATTTCTAAACTGAAAATGACCAACGTCAAACGGCCATTACTGATGCAGATCAGATACACGTGCGCCTCAATTCCATCAGAAGTTATCTTTATTGTACAGGTTATAACGGCAAAGTAGCTAGACGAAAGCCACTCCTCACTCCGGCCATTACCATACGTCGACAGCATCCGGATTTATATGTCCTCCTTTTTTTGAGGGGGGGGGGGGGTTTACAATATTTCCAAAGAGTCCAGATTTGCACAGTTCTAGAACTTTGGACACACCTCGGTTTAAAGACGATTCTCCCAGGAACTTTTGTGGAATCGCTTGAAAGACATGACAGATATAACACTGTATTTAACACTGATATAACACTGTATTTTGTTATGTCTTGCAAACACTTCAAAGAAAGTTCCCCGGAAGATCGTATTGTTCAAATGACATTTATGTCTGGTGTTTATACGAAAGGATGACCAATACTCGATACACCAAAATTATCGATCAAAGGTATTATACCTCTCTAAACCAAAGCCCAGTTTACCAGACAAGACAGTGTTTGCATATACATTGAGGCTCTTGCTCATTCAACCCGAGTTACAAAACGATGGCTTGAACGTCAGGACATTACGACTTATCTACGCCAGTTGACGAATATAAACCCTAACGTACGCCCCATTCTAAATTGTCCCCTGTGAAAATGTCCCAAACAAACATCTTCTAACCCCATTCTAGATTGTCCTTTGTGAAAATATCCCCCCCCCCCAAAAAAAAACCTTCTAAGGTTAACCCTAACCCCATCCTAGATTGTTCTCTGTGAAAATATTCCAAACAACCAACTTTTAAAGTTAACCCTAACCCCATCCAAATTGTTCGCCGAGAGTGGGGGTGCAATTTCACGGCAATGATTTGAAACCGTCAAATTGTGTTCCTTAAATATTGTAAAGGGTAGATTCACCAACTATTAATGTTCATCTTGCATCCTGTATTTCATGTTAGTCAATTTGATAAAATATTTTTCTGGCGTGGGTGACTATTAGCTTGCCCCCCAGTGGCACAGCAGTATGTCCGAGGACTTATACTGCTAGAAACCTGGCTTCGATATCCGTGGTGGACAGAGCACAGATAGCCCTTTGTGTAGCTTTGTGCTTAATAACAAACAGCAACAACTATTACCTTATTGACTGGCTGTGTAATTCGAATACGATATTTTTTCCACAAACTGTAAAGAGGCGAGTTAAGCCTATTGGTTCCAGAAGCTAATGTAACTTTGGAATCCATTGATGAAACTGGATTTTACAAAAACTTCAAGATCGGTAGGATTCCCAAAGTCTTCGGGGCAGTAACCTAACAGACTTTGCGTCGATCCGGTACTGTATATATAGATCAATTCTTAGCTGGATGGAGCTATATGTAATACTTCTGGAACAGCTTTATCCGAGTACGTAAGGTGCTCATACTTGATGATGACAAAACCTTGTCGAAACGTTGTACATTTGCTGTTATGTTAAACTTATATTAAAGTTTTTCTTCATTACCCATTCAAGCTGTCTCCAACCATTATTAAAAGTCTTCATGTGTATTTCTAACTGTACATGTATTATAGTTCTGTAGAACTGTTAAGGATGACAAACATTTTCCACAAATTCACACAACTTTTACTTGGAAAATATTCAAGAAAAAAAAAGAATAAATAATTATTCCTTATTATTTTACAGACGTTTAATACGAATAAAGTTGGTGAAAATAACGTATAATTACGATTAACTCTTGAATCTCCGAGAAGTTGACTGAAGAAAAGGAAAATATAAGCTAGAACTCCCACGCAATGGATTTTATTACTCAATTATTCTTCGGTCTCTTGGATGGACCTGATGGTTATTGTTATTATTTTTCAATATCTCAAACCGGGGAACGTGATTAATTTCAAGAATTTTATAAAGAGGTCCTAGAACTCCTGAGATAAAAATAGCATAGTAATAAATGAAATTTAAACTATAATAAGCATTTTCTAAAAATTTCAAGCACTTATTTTATGCGGAGTTAACTTGCAGATCGTTATGAGCTAAACCTTTTCGCTTCGAATAATGCCTTGATTTATAACCCGGTAGAAACAGCTTCGACACTATTAGCGCCAATCAGTGATGCCGAACAGTGAGCCTTATTAATACGTAACCGCATTCAAATTTGAAAAGGATGGAAAAACCACAATTAATGACATAAGAGGCCACATCTATAGGAGTTTATTTAAAGCAAATGTCCTTAATCTTCATATTAAACCCTCTCTGACGTAGATTCGTAGACCTCAGAAATCGTTCTCCTGGAGATTAAACTTGAACTACTCGTCATCAGTGTTAAGAGATCTCTCGTTAGTGGTGATCAGTAATTGAAAAAATTGGGTTAGAACGCCGAAAATATTTTAATTTTATATTGATAAAAATTATTTAAGGTATATAAAACATAGAAGAATTATTTTAAATAAACGTTGTTGACGTTTCGAGTCTAAGCCTTTCTCTAAAGACCTTTAATCTAAAAAACATAAAATAGTTAGTTGTACAGCCTAAATGTACGTATATCAGCTATTAGATTTTATTTTTTCAACAATATTAGTAGAGACGATTCGTGTATACTTGTTTATGTGTATACATAGAACGCTGTACAACTTTTCTGTAGTTTTGATATTAAAGTGTTTTTTTTTTTAGGAAGGGTTTAGGCCCGAAACGTCAACAACATTACCATCATTTGTTGTGTAATGTATTTAATTTTTCCATCTTTCATACATATTAACTATTTTTTTTACGTGATTAGTGGATTCCCCACTGACTGGTGCTTTGATTTCTACACTTAGCCGTACTCCTGTATTTTTACTGTACAAATATCATTTGTCACAAATGTTTCAATGGCTGTGTTTCCTAAAACTGTAAAGTTTGAAAGCAAAAAAATATTTACGAGTATTTTTATTCATTATAGCCATTATGAAAAACTTCTATCTTTTGCCACAAAATCAATAATTACAGTATTTATTGACATATTTTCTAATTTTTCCATTTGATTTCTGTACTAGTTTTTATGTTTTTATATCACTGAACCATGGGCCAAGTTTTGCAATAAAAGTTAATAGAATACGACGCGTATACGTTTTATAACAATGCAAACATTGAGCCCCCCAGTGGCACAACAGCATGTCTGTGGACTTACAATTTTACTAGGCTTACTAGAATCCGGGTTTCGATACCCGTGGTGGTCAGAGCACAGATAGCCCATTGTGTAGCTTTGTGCTTAATTACAAACAAACAAGCGAACACTGATACGTTTTTTAAAACTCAAAAATACTGGCTCCCTGGCGGCTCAGCGGTAAGTCTAAAAAAATAATAAAAAAATACTGGTTCCCTGGCGGCTCAGCGGTAAGCCTAAAAAAATAATAAAAAAATACAGGCTCCCTGGCGGCTCAGCGGTAAGCCTAAATAAAAATAATAAAAAAATACAGGCTCCCTGGCGCTCAGCGGTAAGCCTAAAAAAATAAAAAAAATACTGGCTCCCTGGCGGCTCAGCGGTAAGCCTAAAAAAATAATAAAAAAATACAGGCTCCCTGGCGACTCAGCGGTGAGCCTAAAGGCTTGTAATGCACTATTTGTTTGTTTTGAATTTTGCGCAAAGCTACTCGAGGGCTATCTGCGCTAGCCGTCCCTAATTTAGCAGTGTAAGACTAGAGGGAAGGCAGCTAGTCATCACCACCCACCGCCAACTCTTTTACCAACGAATAGTAGGATTGACCGTCACATTGACCCCCACGGCTGAAAGGGCGAGCATGTTTGGTGGGACGGGGATGCGAACCCGCGACACGCAGATTGCGAGTCGAGTGTCCTAACCACCTGGCCATGCCGGGCCACGTAACGCACTGATAGCCCATTGTTGTGTATGTTGTAAGCTGTATGATCTGACGAAGAGCGCTGTCTCGAAACATCATCCTTCTTTAAATAAAATATATAAAAACTTGGTGATTGTTCAACCTATTGTTTAATTTTTACATTTTCGTCGCCTATGCGGTTTTAACTATATATAGCTTTCTGCAACAAACTAACAAAATCGCCTATATTTTCTGCTTCAGTTTCCACGTTTGAAGTGTTAGGGGCGAGATGTACTTATATTTCAGAAACACTTTTGCAAGAATGTTATAGATCCTTAACCTAACCGAGTGAAACAGCCTGCTATGTAGCGCTAAGTAAGAGCTGGGCATCGTCTATTAGTTAAGATGGCCAAACGATGAATCCGAGGATTTAGTGTTCGCGTCTCGTTGCCACAAAATCATGTTCTACACTTCATGGATGTGCTAAAGAGTTGCAGTCAATTACCACTTACTCAGGTCAGACAAGACTAGACTAATAGTTGAAGGCTGTTGACTAACTGGCATCTCTCTGAAAATTAGGGACGGCTTACTCAGAAATTTCTGAAACAAGCAAACATAGAATTATTTACATTTAACCAAACATCGTCAACTTAAGTTCTTAGGCATTATACAAAAACAAATAATGTATGCATTAAAATCTAGTTTTTTGCGCCCCCTATAAAAATATCATTCAAGGCTGTAAATAAGGTTGTTTGAGTGCAATTATGCAATGCTTTTGTCCTTAAAGTTTTGTGTAATATGATTCACGGTTAAGTTCAATGTCAGTTTATGAAAATATAAAAATATAATAAATAAAATCAACCAATCACAAACGATAAAAATAGTGGCTATTTTGTTTGTTTTGTTTTCAGAGCGACAGAGTAAAATCTAGACAGCTATTGCTTTACTGCCTTTCGCTGTGGACACAGGCAAAGATAACACAGTAGTATTAAGAAAGCAGGAAAAACTGAGATGAAATTAGAGCAGGCAGTTGACGATCAGATCATTTTGCCGTCAATCAGGCCTACATTTCCGCCTGCCACGTGGGTGTGTGGAGCATATAAGCTTAGGTGAATTAAGTAATCGTGTAATACGAAATTCTACCATGTTAACTTTTATTGCACAGTGCGCATGTTTTCTTAGGGTATCCACACGTGCATGATTAACTATTCTCTATTTTTTTCTCCTGTAGTGTCTCTTGTTGATTCCTTGTGGCTTTGGAAGCCCCATCAATCACAATTCTGGTAGACCTGTTTCGTGGAAACAGAAGTACGCTAGGTAAGGTTACACTTCGTTATCTGACTCCAAAACCAAGTTTCTTTTCAAAGTCTTATATTTACTTTCAAATAAAACAGAAACAAAATTCTTAAGTCGATCAAACAACATTTCTACTGAACGTTGAATACTTTTATAGTCAACACAGTCATGCTTTCAAGTCATAAAGCATTGCTAGTTCGCCAATTATTGTAAATGATAGTAAAGTTAATTCATATAAAATAATAATAATAGTACATCAATAAATAAAAAACAGCGTTAAAATAAAATAAAATAAATAATGTTGTGTTATTAATTCTTACGTAAAGATCTGATTTACAAATTACTTCAACAAAATTACTAGCAATTACAATTCACTTGCTTAATCTGATTCACACCCTAACAGTTGTTGTTCATGAGAATTAATAATATATAAATATATATATGGTATTTTTATATTGTTTCATTTTTATTAATCACTTCCTTGAGGAAAGTATATTTGATTTCTTGTATGTACGCAAACACACACAAACATATATATCGCATAAACCATTACTATGCCTATCGTATCCCAGCCGACGGATGAGATCTGGCATTGAGCGAAAAGATTCGTCGGCACTGTATATATATAAGATGTAGCGTAATTGAGCTATTTCAAGATTTTCACCTTTGATTTCACTCATGGATTCTTAAATTATATCAGTTTATATTAAGATTTGCTCTAGATTGTTTCGAAACTTGTATTCAAGAAATACACTGAAAACCGAATGGCTAGCTAGACAAAAAGAAAAAAAAAGCTTTTTTCATTTCTTTGACACCCGTTGGTGATAAATAATACTTGTCTTAAATTAATTCAATATATACAGCACTTAGAAGATATGTACTTAAAACGAAAAAAAAACAAAACAAACAAATATGGCGACGAAAATATTAAATTTTTCTTTTTAGGTGTATCGGTAAACATTTTCTGCTTCTATTAGAACAACAAATTTGGCCGCCACTGTGATCAATATTTGTCACAATTTTTAGGGTTTTATTCTGAAAAACTAGTAAAAGTCGATGATCAATAATACTGACAGTTCCGTTGCTTTTCTTATCGAAAATAATATTGTTAGTTTATTGAATGTTTGCTACAAAAGCGACGTGATGCTAGGCCTTACGAAACAAAATCAACTTCAGGACGTAAGAAAATGTATGAGATATAATAAAAAACATGCAATTTTATGAGCTGTACATATATCCATGTTTTGTTGTATATTCATTACAGTATAATAATTTTTTTGTTTGCTCACACAATTAGTAATATACAATTTAGTTTCGTGGTGATTTTGTTAAATATACATTTATAATGTGTCATACATTTATAAATTGTTCGTGGCTTTCCTCTTATATTTATCACTCTCGGCAGAGAATGGGCCTGGGATCCTTTCGAAGTTGGAAAACACGTGAAGTTCCCCCTGAGAATTGCTCATTCAACTGAATGTTGCCCTTCGGTGTCGGAAATCGTTCAGCCAATGGGAGGAGTTTCGAGATCTGGCCGAATTCTCGAGCTTTACCACGACAGAAATTCCACGCAAAAATTTTACCAAACTTCCTGTCTGGAAGAAGTGAGGGGGCGTCCTTGTCGCTTCCTTTCTCCTCCTCTGATACATCATTCTCATTGTATTCAAAAGTATAGCTTTACTTATGCCTTGGTTAGAGAGTATGGCACAAATGTTACCTGGCGTTTAGATTATATTAGAATTCGAAGCGGTTGTACATGTGAGATCAATAACATTGCAATGATAGTTTAGTTATGCTAAAACATAAAAGATTTAAGATATTAGAATAAATGAAACCTCCGAAATTTAAAACAATAAATTTTAAAAATATAATATTTGTTAGATGCTTGCTTAAATCGAAGAGTTAATTTTTCTTCAATGAATATATATATAGATTACAGGAAGATAACAGAAATCTTAGAAATAATGATAGTCAGGTAATCAAATACTTGATAGTGCTTGTTGCTAGAAATTTAGTGAACTAATTTGATTAAAGTTAGAGTAATTCTAGTATTGAAAAATGAAACACAATTTTACCGAATTACGGGAAACTTATTACACAACTGTTTCTGGAATATTTACTTGAGTTCCTGAAAGCCTTGCATTGTGATGAATTCGAGTGAGATGAACATTGCATATTCTGAATAATATATATATATATATTCTGTAAATTAAATACAACAAAATAATAACTCCTTAATAAAGATATTTATTTCCGTGTGGCTGCATTTGTGAGATTTTGTTTACAGCAAAACAAGAAAGGAGGAATTTTAAAGTTTGGGAGCATGTCACTTTACTTATAACATTGCCACAAGAAACCTTGAAA